GAAGCCGTACAGGCGCTCGTTCGCGTGCGGGCGCGCGGCGTGCGGCGCGAGAGGGATGGCGGAGGGAGCAGTCGACACTCCCCCGCCGTCCGCGAGGAGGGAGGCCATCTCCCTCACCAGCTCGGCCGACTCATGCTCGAGCGACTGCGGGGACGTGGAGTCGCTGCGGGCCGAGTCGCCGGCGTACGGCAGCGAAGCGGTCGGCTCGGTGAGCTCGTCGGCGAGCAGCCACTTCAAGTCGAGCGGCTCGTCGGACCACTCCACCGCTAGCTCCACCGGCAGCCCAAACGGGCCGAGCTGCAAGCCGAGCTGGCAAAGCTGGCCGAGCTGGAGCTGGCCGAGCGAGACGGACTCCTGTGCCGGAGCGGGCGCGGCCGCCCGCTCCGGCGCCCCAAACATAGGGAATTGCTTCTGCGACGGCGGGTAGCGCGGCTGCAGCGAGGACGGCGCGTGCAGCCTCCCGCCGCCCGCCGCCCCCACCATCGGCAGCGCCGGTACCGAGGCCGCGGAGCGGCGGCGCTTGCAACGCGGTGGCGGCGCCTCGACCTCGTGATCGTCCTCCTCCTCCTCGATCAGCAGGTGGCCCCACGAGCGCCGGTTCTGCCGGCCGCGCCCCTTGGCCTTGCCGCTGGACAGTGGCGAGCCGGGCAGCCGGCGAGAGGGCTCCGGTGTGTGCAATACCGGGCTGCCCGCGCGCCGGACCCCGCACGGCGACATCATCGCCGACTGCCGATCGTTGAGCTGCGCGTCGGCGAGGGCCTCCGGCGAGCGCGCGTAGCATAGTGCCGCCTCCTCGGCGGTGGCGAAGCGGCCGAGCGTCACGCGGCGACCGCCGCGCCGTACCTGCGGTGGTGGTGGGTGTGAGGTGTGGGCAGGGCTCTCTACGTCCGTCCCAGGGGCGCTAAGAGAGATGCCTGAGCTCGGTACGGGTTTTTGAGGCCGACGGTGCTCTGGCTGTCGCGAAGGACGCCCCTGTAGCCGGACAAGCTGCTCGAGCTACGGAGGAGGACGAGCCCCTCCGCCGCGGCTTCGGCGAGGGCCTGGGCCGACGCGGCGTACAGCTCGGCCGCCGATCGGGAGGAACAGACAGCGTGCACCATTGGATAGTGCTCCCGATTCCCAGATAGAGCTCTACACTGTTCCTGTGGAGCCTGAATTTGGGCCCGATTCTCATGTTCGGTCCTCTTCTTTATCGCCGCTAATAGACGCCGAGAAGAAGAATCCAATAAAGAAAAGCAGGTGTGGATTCTCCGTTTGATTGCGAGAGTGGCACCGGCGTGTAACCTCGAAGGGGCAGCTGTGTGCAAGTGTGCTTCTCCTGGCTGAGCAACGCGAGGCCGCGAGTCTCAGTGACAGTGCTGTTGCACACATGAGCAGAGCCGCCCCGGACTGTCGGCGATAGGTGGCAAATGCGGGTTCGAAACACGGGTCTCCGACCGCGCTCCGGGCTTCCCCTAGCAGCAGACCGCCCCCTCTACTCGGAGCTAGTGGACATTACAGTAACGTGTTTTCTTCTTTTTCTACTCGGAGCCAGTGATACGAGAGAGAGGATTTTTAGCAATACGTGTTTGTGTTTGTGATACGTGAATACGCACATGTTACGAGAATACACACTGTCCCCCACGGAGTACCTGTCTGTACTACGAGACTCGACGATAATACAAGAATACAGAATACGCAGCTTGGAAGTTGCAGACACCTATAAAGAAAAAACAGCAAGCCAAATTTCGGCGGCTAAAAAACAAAGGACGGCGCTTTTGATCGGCAAAGCAAAGTTGGAGTAACGGCGTCGCCACAATGCCAGTCGCCTGTCGAGCAGCCTTGGCGGCGCGCATGCGCCGCAGGGTTGACCGACAGCCGCGCACCTCGAGCCTCTCGAGAGATTTGTGTTTTGTTTGTAAGATCGCAGGCAGATTTTATGTCCCGACGAGGTGCCCGGCGCCGAGCTTTTAGCGGCGTCGGCGATGTTGCTGTCCCTTGGTGGTGCTCGTCTGAACACACGTGTCCCTCCATTCACACTCTCCCAGTTCTGAACACACGTGTCCCTCCATTCACACTCTCCCAGTCCTTCTGGCTCAGTGCCCGTCTTCTCCGCCCGCCGTCGGGCCCGCCGGCCTGTTTCGTCTCCCAAGACGTTTCACCTAGAGCAAGCGGGGCGGCGCGCCCCCACGCCCATCCGTCAGCCGGGTGGGGCTTGCACGGTGCTCCCCCGTACGCCGTCGGCCCCGTCGTCGCGTGTTTTGCATTTATGGGAAGAGAGAAACGGTGCCTCCCCGCAAGTCCTCTCGACGCGTCGAATCATTGGCGCGGGCTTTCTCGGGGCTACAGGTCCGACCTCGAGTCCGACTCCACACACACACACCACAGCTTCGGCTGAGGGTTCCTGGGTTGACAAGCTGCCGAGCCCGAATCACTGGAAGAGTCGCGATTGCTTGTTGCCTTTCCAAAAATCTCTCTCTTTATGGGAGAGCAAGAGTAAACTTCAAACGGGATCGACGGACGAGGGATTTCAGCACGATCCGCAGAGACTCTCTAAATTCGTCGTGCGAGGGAGCTTTGTTGTAAAACTCTAAATACGTCTGGCTCCTGCTCCTGGCGCCAGGGGTGGGCTGGGGTGCGGTGTGTGCGCTGCGTGGGGGGACTCACTTTAAATTTGTCTCTCTCACTTTTTGTTCGGTCTCATATCGTATCTCTATAGAAGAGTTGAACACAAGCCGAGGCGAGCCGCAGGCCGCACCGATCCGGCAGCGGCACAGGTGTGAACGCCATAGTTGGTCCTGAGCCCTACGGCTTTGCTAGGGAAACGATATACTATTGTCACAAAAGATAGCACAGAGCCGCCGTACACAGTACACACACCAAGTGCAAGAGACACCACATACGCAAACACACACACACGGCTCTGGCGGCTCTCTAGCCCGCCGGGACCGAGCGGAGCGGCTCCGAAAGAGCAGCGGCTGCGGCGAATGCATTCTGCGCGATGTGCGGCACGGGTCGCCCGTCGGCCGTGACGCCCATAGGCGCGAGCAGGACGTCGTAGGTCGCCTCGTCCTCCTCGTCCTCGTCCTCGAGCGTCACCACGTACCGCGCCGCGGCGATGCCCGTCTCGGTCGGCAGCTCGAACATCCCTCGGTATTTTAGGCCCTGCTGCGGCTCGAGCCTCACCTTGCCCGTCGCCTCCACGCCGCCCAGCCCGGCCCCGCTCTCGGTGCGGGCCACCCCGCGCGCGTCGAGCACGGTCCACTCCCTCCCGTGGATGACGACGGGCGCCTGGAGCGCGGGGTGGGGTGGGGTGGGCGGCCTGGCGGGGCGAGCGGGGTGGGCGGTGGGGCGGGGCGTGGCGGGGCGTGGCGGGGCGTGGCGGGGCGTGGCGTGGCGTGGCGAGGCGAGGCGTGGGCGAGGCGCCGGAGGCGCTCACCGCACGGCCGTTGTGTATGTGGACGTCGTACTGAAAGGCGTGGCGCAGCAGGTCGGCGTCCGATCGGCTGGGGACGTACTCGACGGTGGCGCCGACGAGGACTCGGTACGAGCTAAACACCGAGGTTGGCGGCAGCTCCCTCGCCAGCACGTCCGCCTCGGGCGCGCAGGGCACAGACTGCGCCCGTCCTCCCCGATCCCCCAACAGCAATCGCCCGATGCTGGCGGAGAAGGCGCCCCCTCCGCCCCGCGACTCAAACTGGAAGGAGCCGTGCATCGCTCCGAGAGGCGCCGTCAGCGTCGCAGTGCCCGAGGTGGTGTAGCGCTGGCCTGGCGAGAGCACCGGCAGCCGGCCGCCGGCGCCGGCGCCCTTGACCTCCTCGACGCGGCCGTCGGAGGTCGTCGTCACCATGTGCCTGGTGAGCAGCTGCACTGTCGCCGCGCCAACGTTCTCAATCTCAATCGCGTAGCGCCATGCATAGCTTTGCGGCGCGCTTTGCCTCCGCTCGCCGCCTTCGGCACGCGCAAAGATGGCGACAGCAGCGGCGCCGTGCGTCGTACGCCAGGCTGACTCGGGTGGAATCGGAGTGCCGCATCGCATCGCGGCGTCGGGAACTGGCATGCTCAGCCGGATGAGGTCGGGAGGGAGTGCGTCGTCGTCGTCGAGCTCGATTCGGTCGGTCGGGCTGCTGAACCAGAGCGCGACCAAAACAACGTTGAGGAGTGTGGATGTCGCTATCGAGCCAATGAGGCACCGCAGCATCTGGCTGATCAGGAAAGGTAGGGGCGGAGGGGCGCGGAGCGAGAGCGGTCGGCCCTAACCGACTGAAAAGGCCCCCCCCGGGGCGAGAGCCGACTGAAAAAGAAAGCCAACGTCTTCGGGCGGTGATGTCAGTGAGGAATGTGTGTGTTGTCGTGCTAGTGTCTGGTGTCTACTAGCCCCGAGTAGAGGGGGCGTTCCGCTGCTAGGGGAAACCCGGAGCGCAGAGCCAACCCTCGGGGACCCGTGTTTACTTTAAGGCCCTTGCGACTCCCAGAGTCCGTTACGCAAAGCATGGCATCCGCCTCCGCTCTTGCGCTGCTCGCTCGCCCGGGCGGAGGACATGGCCGCCGAGGAGGCGAGTGGGCACCTGCCAGGCCTTCCGCAGGCAGCCTATTGGGCAGACTGAGGGTCAGCTCTGCGTGGCGTGGCCCGTGCGCTGCGCTGCGCAAAGCTGCGGGTGGTGAGGGAGCATCTGGTGCTTCCACTGGGAGGCGCGCACCTCCTGCAGCTGGTGGAGGGCCATGCTGCCGTGTGCCTGCTCCGTGGACAGGACAGGGAGGCGGCGCCGCAGCGCCACGGCCTCCGCTGCTTGCCGGTGCAGCAATGTGCTGCCTGGTGAGCAGCCTGCTGGTTCTGTGTGCGGCGTTGACGAGGCTGCAGTGGCACTGTACTGCATGCCACGGCGAGTGGCGCGCGGCGCGCGCGTCGCCACGCGTGGCACGGGAGGCGCGGGAGGCGCGGCTGTCGGTCAACCCCGCGGCGCATGCGCGCCGCGGAAGCTGCTCGACAGGCGACTTCATTGCGAACGCGGTCGCCGTTACTCCAACTTTGCTTTGCCGATCAAAAGTGCCCGTCCTTTGCTTTTTAGCCGCCGAAATTTAGCATGCTGTTTTTCTTTATAGGTGCCTCGCAGCTGCGTATTCTCGTATTATCTTCGAGTAAGGGATCGCGTGGGGGTGGTACGTATTCCCGTATCACTAGCTCCGAGTAGAGGGGGCGTCCTTGCAGTTAAGGGGAAACCTGGTACGCGGGGCCAACCCTCGGAGAGTATTCTTTAGCTCCGAGTAGAGGGGGCGTTCCGCAGCTAGGGGAAACCCAAAGCGCAGAACCAACCCTCGGAGACCCGTGTTATGGCCCTGCGACCGCGCACCCCCGGGGCTAGGGCTCTCTTGCCCGAGGGCTAGAGCGCGCCGGCGGGCGCGCTCTAGCCGGTAACCCGATCCCGATCATCCGGCCAACTGGGTGCGCTTCTGAGCTCCCCGGTCCTGGATGTGAGGCTACTAACCGCACTCCAAGTGCTCCAAGTGCTTGCCCTGCGAACGCGCACCCCCAGGGCTAGGGCTTTCTTGCCCGCAACCCGATGCCAATCATCCGGCCCGCTGGGTGCGCTTCTTAGCTCCCCGGCCCTGGATGTGCGGTTGCTAACTGCACTCCAAGTGCTCCAAGTTTCGTGAAAACTCCCCGCCTCGGGTCATCGTTCATCGTGCGCGCCGTTCATCGGACGGCGCGCGTGAGAGCGCGGCCGGGCCTCCCGCTCCGAGACCCCCCCCCCATCAAAGGTTTTTCCCACATGCACATGATACAACACAAAACAAACTTCTCCATGTCGCTCCTCAAGAACTGGCGCACCCTCCGTCGCCCACAACCCCGACTTCGCCCTCGACGAGGGAGGTGCGTCCAAGTACCCCGCCATCGCCGCAGCTATCGCCACCTACGAGTCCGCCCTCTCGGACTGGAAGGAGGTGTGCGAGAAGCGCACCGCCCGCGACAAAAACAAGTACTACACCGTCCGCGGCGTCTACCTGACTGACTTCTACCCCAAGAGCGTCCCGCTCCCCGAGCCCGAGTCCCTTCCAGCTACCGACGCGATTCTCAATGGCACTTGCAAATCCACGTACCCGCGGCCGCGGGCGCTCGCTGCCATCAAGAATCACAAGGACTGATTCGCGCACCAGGAGCTCGTCAAGGCGCAGGATGTGCACGTCAAGAACAACCCGTCCCTCGGAGACAGCGCCGTCAACAACCGCGAAGCCGCGCGCCTCATCTCCGCCTCAACGCCTTTCGCCGGCAAGGCCTTCGATGTCCGTGTCGACGGTACGTACGCCACCGCCCTCTCCTCCGACACCCTCCAGGACGAGCTCCAGCGGAAGCTCGGCCTTTGGCTCTCCGCGGCGCTTCCCACCCTTCGGGTCGCGCTCGAGCGGGGCATGCCAGTCGATTTCTTCGGCGACTACCTTTACAACAAGGCCCACCACCGGCGGCCCCACGACGGCGTCCTCGCCGCCTGGGCGGACGCGATGCGCGCCCCGGCCAACGCGCCGGTCGTGCACGGCGACAAGGAGAAACCAGAGCTCACCCGGCAGTACAACGAGGGGTACAAGGTCGACCTCGCAGAACCCCACGGCCACGCTGGGCCGGGAGGATGCGATGAGGTGAATGAAATCAAGCTCTGGACGCCCCTCCTCAAGACCTCCTCGCCGGGCGTTGGCAACGCCTCGAGTGGCGGCACGCCCGCCTCCGTTGGCCACTCCTACGCCTTTGGCAACACCGAAGAGAAGGCCCGCCGCCTGAACATGGGCTGCAAGGCGCGCGGGCAGCCCGGCCAACCCTTCTCCCACAAGACCGGCCACGGCTACGCCAAGGCGCATCGCGGTTTCTACCACGACGCGATCTTTGTCAAGCGCAACAACTTCAACCTGCTGCTCCACGAGACGTTCGGCGGCGGCTTCTCGCCCACCGCCGTTCTCAAGCTGCGCCGCCTCGCGCGCAAAGTCGCGCGCGGCAGCGTTGACCGCACGGCCTACTCGCCCAAGTACTCGCTCTCTTTTATGTCCCACCATGCAGAGCGCATCTCTCTCTCTGTTGTGCGAGGCGTGAACCGCGCCATTCGCTCTCACCGCTGGCAACCCCTGTCTGCACGTCTCGTGCGCGCGTGAACAGGGCTCCAGGCCCCAAATTACGTGTGAGTGTTGGAGTTGTTTGGTATTGCTAAAAATCTCTCTCTCATGATACATGCACATAAATAAATAAATAAAAACGGACACCTCTACCGCTGTGATGGCTTGGGTAAACCAATATGCAATAACGAAGGAACAGGATACATGCACATGCACCAATGAGCGACGGTGAATTAGTTCTGGGCCGGATGACTTGCCGCGTCTGCAATAGTGCAAATGTTTCACTATTTTCCCTTTTCAGTACAAACAGACCTTGCGGCGGCGTTGGTCGTGCACGAGAATGTGCCGCTGGTGCGGGGCATGCGCCCCGTGGAGTATTCGCTGCGAGGGAGAGGAAGGGAGGGGGAAGACTGGAAGTCGGGCGGAGGATAGCCTCCGAGAGGGGGGTGGGGGGCTGGAAGGCCGTCTCTATATGTCATCCGCCGCCGCCGCCGAGCCTCGTGAGGAGCGCTGCTCCGAGACGTTGGACGAGAGCCAATCGAAGCCCAGGCTCAACCCCTCCCCCGACACGGCGCAAGTCTCCTGAATGTGCCAACGGCGCTGCAACGGCTCCAGCTTGAGCTGCTTCGTGAGCTCGTCGGCCTGGATCGCGCCCTGGACGTCCTGCTTGTTCGCTAGGACGAGCAGAGCAGCCTCGGCGGGCAGCTCCGGCTCGCCGAGCAGACGGTGCAGCTCCTCGCACGCAGTCGCCACGCGCTCGCGGTCGGCGCAGTCGACCACGAATACGACGGCGATGGCGCCGATGACGAAGTGGTGCCAGAGCGCGCGCAGCTTGTCCTGCCCCCCAACGTCCCACAGTGAGTACGCGCATTTGGCATGTTCGACCTGCTCCACGGCAAACCCGATGGTTGGCTGCCTCGCCACCGCCGCCGCGCCTGCCTGTCCCGCCCGCCCGCCCTGGGACATCCTCTCGGTTATTGTCGTCTTGCCCGCCGCATCAAGCCCCACCATCAGCACGCGGTCCCAGTTGGCGGTGCGGGAGCCCCGCCGGCCGCGGAGGCTTCTGCGGAGCGGGGTCGGCGTAGCCCTCTTCTCCTCGCGCCTGGAGCCGAAGCAGCGACCAAAGCCGATGGCAAGCGCAACCATGGCGCCAGGTCCGTCCCGGCTCGCAGCAAGCGGGCGGCGGCGGCGGGCAGGCGAAACCCGCCCCGGCACTCAAAACCAGAGCTCTTATGTGCACAACGCGCCGCGCTGTTCTGGCGAGGGCGTTGGCCGGGGATCTCCGGCCACGATCTCCATAGCCATTTTCTTCTTTTGGCCCCGGAGACTCTGGTGTTAGCCAATGTCCATTGAGGCTGCCGAGGCGGCCGTTGCGTCGAGCGGGCAGCGCGTGCGCGATCTCAAGGCGGAGGGTGCCGCCAAGGAGGCGGTCGAGGCGGCAGTTCTCGAGCTGCAGGCCGCCAAGGCCACGCTCACCGCCAGCGTCGAGGCTGCGCTGGCTTCGTGTGCCGAGGGCACGCCTGAGTACGACGTGCTCAAGGCCAAGCTGCCGCCGGCGGCTAAGCCCAAGGGCAAGGAGAAGAAGAAGGACGACGCGCCCCAGAACGACCGTGCGGCCGCCAAGGCGGCGCGCGCGGCGCAGCGCGGCGCCAAGGCGGAGGCCAAGGCGGCGACCAAGGACGAGGCGGTCCTCGGGCCAAACCTGTCGCAGGCGGAGATGGACTCGGCGGAGTTTGGCAACCTCTTCATCCAGTCGACCCACGCCGCGACCCGCGCCTGGACCGGCGTGAAGGAGCTCGTCCCGAGCCTCGCTGGCCAACAGGCGCGCGGCCGGCACGCCTAGCGGAGAGAGTGTTGGCGAGGCGGCGGCGGCGGCACACCCGCGAGCGCCGCCCGCCCTGCCCCCGTCCGCAGGTGTGGGTGCGCGCTCGGGTGGCCACCTCGCGCAAGCAGGGCAAGGCGCTCTGCTTCCTGCAGCTGCGGCAGTCGATGCACACCGCGCAGGCCGTCGTGTTTGCCAAGGAGGGCGAGCTGGTCGGCTTCGCGGCGACGCTGCCGCGCGAGTCGGTGGTCGACGTCTTCGGCGAGGTGACGCTGCCCGCGGAGGCGGTGGCGTCGTGCTCGCAGTCCGCCGTCGAGCTGCAGGCCCGACCCTCCCCCGACCCTTCCCCGACCCTTCCCCGACCCTTCCCCGACCCTCCCCCGACCCTTCCCCGACCCTTCCCCGACTCTTCCCCGACCCTTCCCCGACCCTTCCCCGACCCTTCCCCGACCCTTCCCCGACCCTTCCCCGACCCTCCCCCGACCCTCCCCCGACCCTTCCCCGACCCTTCCCCGACCCTTCCCCGACCCTTCCCCGACCCTCCCCCGACCCTTCCCCGACCCTTCCCCGACCCTTCCCCGACCCTTCCCCGACCCTCCCCCGACCCTTCCCCGACCCTTCCCCGACCCTTCCCCGACCCTTCCCCGACCCTTCCCCGACCCTTCCCCGACCCTTCCCCGACCCTCCCCCGACCCTTCCCAGGTCCGCCGCCTCTACTGCGTCTCGCGCGCGATGCCCGAGCTACCCCTCCAGCTCGAGGACGCTGCTCGCTCCGACGAGCAGCTCGCTGCAGACCCCTCTCTCACCCGCGTGAACCAAGACGTGCGGCTCAACCACCGCGTCATCGACCTGCGCACCGCGGCCAACCAGGGCATCTTCCGCCTCCAGTCGGCGGTCTGCGAGCACTTTCGCGGCTTCCTCCTCTCGCAGGGCTGCGCCGAGACGCGCGCCCGCCGAGGAGGACACGAGGGGCACCTCTCGGGCCAGCTCGGCTCCTCTCGCCGTTAGGCTTCACCGAGATCCACTCGCCCAAGATGATCGGCACTGCCTCCGAGGGCGGCGCCGACGTCTTCCGCGTCGAGTACTTTGGGCGCGCCCTCCGAGAGATTGGCCCGAGATGGCCCGAGATGGCACGAGATGGCCCGAGATGGCCCGAGATGGCACGAGATGGCACGAGATGGCACGAGATGGCACGAGATGGCACGAGATGGCACGAGATGGCCCGAGATGGCACGAGATGGCACGAGATGGCACGAGATGGCACGAGATGGCACGAGATGGCACGAGATGGCACGAGATGGCACGAGATGGCACGAGATGGCACGAGATGGCACGAGATGGCACGAGATGGCACGAGAGTCCGCGTCGGGAGTGTGGGCGCCCCCGCGCGCCGTCGCACGGCGAAGGAGTCGCGACGAGAGAGGACGACCGGTGCTGGTGGTGCATCAAGGCGCGACGCGTACCTCGCGCAGTCGCCGCAGCTGTACAAGCAGATGGCGCTGATGGCGGACCTCGACCGCGTCTTCGAGGTCGCGCCCGTCTTCCGCTCGGAGAACTCGCTCACGCACCGGCACGGGACCAGTTGAATTAGAGAAATGAGGAGCGCTGTCTAGTATTCTTTCACCTGTGTGAATGTTTCAGGCACATGACCGAGTTCGTCGGCCTCGACATGGAGATGACCTTCTTCGAGCACTACCACGAGGTGCTCGACATGCTCGACCGCACCTTCTGCGCAGTCTTCGACGGGCTGAACCAGAGCCACCAGGAAGAGCTCGCCGCCGCGCGCTTCACGAGGAGGTGTGAACAGCGTCTCTTCACACCCTCTGCTGTCAACAGGAAGAGCTCGCCGCCGTGCGCGCGCAGCACCCCTTCCGCGACCTCCGCTACCGCTATCCGTGCCTCCGCCTGCGCTACGACGAGGCGATGGCCCTGCTGCGCGACAAGGCGCCCCCCGCCCCCCCGCCGCTTTGCCGAGGGTGTTCTTCGCCGGACTTTTCCTCCTTGCTGCCATCGGCGCCGGGGTCCTGTCCTTCTATGGGGCGGCAACGGGCACAATCCGGAGGAAAACTTCCCTCCAAAGACCCGGCTCTAAGCCTTTTTCCAA